TAGTAACTGACTGGTTGTATATACTCTTTTGAGCAGTTTTCATTAACACACCAGGTATAAGGCTGTCACCTAGTAACTGACGGTTGTATATACTCTGTAGAGCAGTCTGCATTACCACACCAGGTATAAGGCAGTCACCTAGTAACTGATGGTTGTATATACTCTATAGAGCAGTTTACATTAACACACCAGGTATAAGGCAGTGACCTAGTAACTGATGGTTGTATATACTCTGTAAAGAAGTTTACATTAACACACCATGTACAAGGCAGTGACCTAGTAACTGATGGTTGCATATACTCTGTAGAGCAGTTTACATTAACACACCAGGTATAAGGCAGTGACCTAGTAATTGATGGTTGTATATACTCTGTAGAGCAGTTTACATTAACACGCCATGTACAAGGCAGTCACCTAGTAACTGATGGTTGTATATACTCTATAGAGCAGTTTACATTAACACACCAGGTATAAGGCAGTCACCTAGTAACTGATGGTTGTATATACTCTGTAAAGCAGTTTACATTAACACACCATCTACAAAGAAGTCAACTAGTAACTGATGGTTGTATATACTCTGTAGAGCAGTCTACATTACCACACCATGTATAAGGCAGTCACCTAGTAACTGATGGTTGTATATACTCTATAGAGCAGTTTACATTAACACACCATGTACAAGGCAGTCACCTAGTAACTGATGGTTGTATATACTCTGTAAAGCAGTTTACATTACCATACCATGTACAAGGCAGTCACCTAGTAACTGATGGTTGTATATACTCTATAAAGCAGTCTACATTACCACACCAGGTATAAGGCAGTGACCTAGTAACTGATGGTTGTATATACTCTATAAAGCAGTCTACATTACCACACCATGTACAAGGCAGTCACCTAGTAACTGATGGTTGTATATACTCTATAAAGCAGTTTACATTACCACACCATGTACAAGGCAGTCACCTAGTAACTGATGGTTGTATATACTCTGTAGAGCAGTCTACATTACCACACCAGGTATAAGGCAGTCACCTAGTAACTGATGGTTGTATATACTCTATAGAGCAGTCTACATTACCACACCATGTACAAGGCAGTGACCTAGTAACTGATGGTTGTATATACTCTATAAAGCAGTCTACATTACCACATCATGTACAAGGCAGTCACCTAGTAACTGATGGTTGTATATACTCTATAAAGCAGTCTACATTACCACACCATGTACAAGGCAGTGACCTAGTAACGGATGGTTGTATATACTCTATAGAGTATTCTACATTACCACACCATGTACAAGGCAGTGACCTAGTAACTGATGGTTGTATATACTCTGTAGAGCGGTTTACATTACCACACCATGTACAAGGCAGTCACCTAGTAACTGATGGTTGTATATACTCTATAAAGCAGTTTACATTACCACACCATGTACAAGGCAGTCACCTAGTAACTGATGGTTGTATATACTCTATAAAGCAGTCTACATTACCACACCAGGTATAAGGCAGTATGATGCCTAGTTTCTTAAGTGTTGCTATTGTATTCTCTCTTTAAGAACAGAGCTAACAATGGGCAACATTCTTTTGTGATACTTTTAAGGTAAACTCCTGTGCACCTCAAAATACCTGCCAATATCCAGCTTTAATAATATAGATATTGATTCTTCTTAATATGTTACTAAACTAAAGTGTAGGCACGAACGAATACAAGAATATTAAGATGATTACTGACGAAACTGGGCAAGAGATATTTATATATTTGATATTATAACTCCACAGTAGTTGTCACCAGAAACTATTTCTCTAATTTGAGAAGTAATAAGTTTTTTATCAGGTTAACTTTAGGACTGAAGGTACAGAACAGGTAAAATGAGGGAATCTTGATACGTTTCAGTTTCTTGTAACGTGGACACCACCAGGGGTTAAATTTATAAATCTATGTTCAGCATTAGACAATCGAAAAACTGTGTTTAGCACTTTAACTACAGCTTAAGAATAAACTTATTGTGTTATGAGGAATGCTATATTATATTTGGTTTTAAATGTTGTTAAAGACGAAGCTACTAAATGGGATATCTGTGCTCTGTCCACCACAGGTATTCAAACCTGATTTTTAGCATAGTAAGCCTGAGAATTACTGCTGAGCCACTAGGGGGACCCAATATATATAAGAAGAAGCCATCTTTGAGAGAAGAGTTTAGCTAATTTTCTCATCCTACTTAAGGTCAAATCACAAAGATCTACAACTCAAATCACCAAAAGAAATATTCAAGCCAACTCTTACATACAAGGTTAAAATAGTCTTGTATCAAAATGAAGGTAATGTTTCTAGTTGAGCTATACAATCTAATTCTTTCATATCATTAGTAGAAACCAGAATCTTTTGACCGCTGTAACATTTTCATGTTAGATTTGTCTATTTAACTGAAGTTTTGTAGTAATTCCATCAGTGCAATATATGAGAAAAATTACATTTTACAAGTTTCTTGTTCATTCATCTACCAGCAATAAAACTTCAGCACTGGATCAATTCCAAAATATAAATGCACATTTAACCGAAGCTTTCCTTTAAAAAACAAAATGGTATTTGTTAAATATCTAACAAAAAAAAACAATAGTTTTAAAATGAACTAGAAAATAAGATCAATAAACAAAATAATATACAAACAACAGTACATGTTATGTTTAAATCTTCTGAGAAAAAAACAACAACAAATAAATAAAAGATTATAATCACTAAAGTGAATAAATGAAAGTTTGAAAAAATAAGACCAGATATTGAGAGGTTTTATACAACATTCTGTCCACTCATATGAACTACTTTGTGTTTAGTTGTAAATGTATATGACTAGTGCTCACTGTTGATACCCCCAGCCTGGTTCCATAAAATCAGTGGTCACTGGTGAGACCCCACCAGGTTCCATAAAATCAGTAGTCACTGGTGATACCCCCAACCTGGTTCCATAAAATAAGTGGTCACCGGTGATACCCCCAACCTGGTTCCATAAAATAA